GTTTAGGATATTATAAAGGCAGAATCTCAAATCAGTATGGAAAACAAAATGACTAATTGAAAGCTGGTTATTTATATAGAAAAATATAAAACTAAAACCATTCCTCACAGTGTATGCCAGAATAACATCCAAGTGGATCTAAATGTTAAATACATATACTAGTATATACTAGTACACAAATACATAAGTATTAGAAGAGAACATGAGTCATTCTTTGTATAACCCGGAAATGGGGAAAACTTTTCTTTGACTTAAAATCCCAGAAACAATAAAGGAAAGGGGATAAATTTGACCACATAAAAATAGAAACTTTCACATGAAAGAAATAACATTAAGCAAATCAAAAGGCAAATACAAACTGAGGGAGGGATGGAGACTTACAATTTACAACACTCATAAAGTGTTAATATCTCTAAAAAGAGGTCTAATGATTCTAGAAAACTGGGCAAATGATATCATTCACAGAAAAAGAAAAGCAAATGCCTTAAATAAATAGACAAAATTTCAACTATTAATAACATGCTCTGTGGTGGGGCTATGGAAAAAACATTCCATTTTTGTAGGGAATGAAAAATAGTACAATCCCCAAGGAGAGGAATTTGGGTAATATCTAGATAGATTGCATGCACATTTACCCATTGACCCAGCAATCCCACTTCTAGTAATCCTACCAAAAATACTCTAGCAAAAATATAAAAGGATGTAGGCACAATATCATTTATGTAGCACTGTAAGATGGAAAGTCTAGAAACCACTTAAATGCCGACAATAAGGAACTACATGAAAAATTTTGTTACATTCACAAAATGCAGAGTGATGTGGTCCAAAAAAATGAGAAAGCTCTCAATGTTGTTATAAAGCACTGATTCTCAGGGATGAATTTGCCTTCTGAAGGTTATTTGGCAATGTCTGGAGACATTTTTGACTGTCTAATAGATGTGCTACTAGCATCTAGTAGGTTAAGGCCAGGAATGCCACTAAACATCCTACCACACACTGGACCATAGTACTGTTATTGATATAAAGAATTATCTGGTCCATAGTACTGTTATTGATAAACCCTGCTATAGAATATTCTCCAAGGCAGGTCGTTAAGTGAAAAAAGCAAATGAAGAACATATATTGCTGAGACCACTCCTGCTCTTGGAACCTGACAAGACTGAATAGAAGCCTGCAAACCTGAGTGCCGTCTCCCTGGGAGACATCTATACTAATAAAAGGGTAATAAGCTAATTAGACTGGGAGACCTTCCGGAAGATGTTCCAGAAGTCCTTCCAGACAAAGCCATGGTGGTGGGGCCAAGGCAGAGGCAGTTAGGGGTGAGCAGGCCGGCGC